TGGTTGGCGGCATCCGGTCTGTCACGGCGGCTTCCATGCAGCTAGCCACCGGATGCCTGCGACTACTGAGGGACCATGGATGGCTTGCGCTGCACCACCCACAGCTCCATCCACACACCTCACATCCAGTGTAAATCAGAAAGAACAATACCGGGAGACATGTGGATGGGAACCACGTTTCATCAACAGAGCCGACCCACACTCCATCACAGTCAAACACAAGCACGCAGTATTTGGGGAATCAAGCTCACACCAGTCAGTGACTGGACCGTGGGTCGCTTCACCCCGATTGCGTGGAACCACTCTGCGAGCCTGGCACGGCTACAAGGGCCGTGCACCCCGTCCTCTCCAGCAACGACCAACTGTCTCCTGGAGCCAGTATGGACGAGGTAGTCGGTAAGAGACTGGTAGGCACCTTGTCAACATGCACATCTAAAGCAACCATACCGGGGATATCAAGTAACAGCCAATCACTTGAGCTGACAATATCAAATAAAATATATCGAATAAAGCATTCGGATTTGCCGACATAAGTCTTCACTAAACTAACATAGGAAATAAATGAGTTATCAACATATTCGCACAAAGTTCAACATCTCGAAAAAATTGATCAATCAAGCGTATGCAACGGATGCGAAAAAAACAAACTAAGGTAACCAATCTTCGTTAAAGCGACATGTACAAGTTAATAGAATATTAATCAGGTGAACATTAAAATGAGCTATCAAAACAAGCATACAGACAATACAGCAGACCAATCACCTAAAATATAGGAACTCAGCACCCAAGCACAGGGATGTCAAATAGAATGGAAGCGCATGCAGCTTAGAAAACATCGTTGCGCCGGTTCCGTTTACTTTCTGAAGAAGACCCTTCGTTGTTTCGATACTGGTCCCGAATGACCTCGCTCGTGGCTCACTAGACCTGCTGGCTCAAGAAATCGCGACTACATGTGACACAGCAACATGGGCTCGATGTCGGTGGAGTACAACCCATCGGCGCCTGTCGGTACTTCTCCGCATGCACGGGAACTTTTTCCTGCACTTCAGTAACCTGTTGGTGATCAGATCGCGCCATGCACGCCGATCAACCGCCTTCGATTCCCAACACGTGTAATCAACATTAGAAAGTGAGAGCCTCAACTTGATCATGTCCTGGTAAAGAAGATTCGGTCTCCAAACGTGCCGCTTCCCCACATTCAGCTGACCATGTAACAGCTGCTTTGGTATCCGCGTCGAATCCATAAGACACAAGATGGAGTCACAGGCGTCCCAGCAAAAGTATGCAGTCCACTGCATACATTACACTTCGGCTCAACCTCCGTGTCTGCAACTCTGTCACACCAACCGACGTGCAGAAGCCGTCTCAGACAGTTAATGAAACCGCTCAAGCCGGTACATCGCTCAGGTATCGCTGCTGTATAGAAGAACAGACAGCACCTTGGACCAGTAGACCATCAGCTTCGTGTCAACGGTAAAATGATGGTTGTTCCACACCCGATTCTCAAGCTTCCCGAAAGACGCCGCTGCCTTCGTTACGCGGATACGCAGCTAAGTGTGCATCCGCTGGGCGACGATATCACAATCTCAAGGTATCAGAAGCGGGAGGTGGTTCCTAGTACTTCGGCACCAATGCAGATCCGCGGCACCAATGTAGATTGTATTGCACAATGCATAGTAGATTGCTTGTAGATTTAAAGAGACAGACAGTATTGATTGCGTTGCTAGTTAATCCGAAGTAAGAAAGCGTCGAAGCCAGAGCACTACACATGTGTTGCAACAAATCCGTGCTGAGTGCATACAACGCACAGTCGTCAGCGAACTGTAGCATATGCATAGTTGTCTCACAGCCTAGGATTATCGCACCGAAACGACGGATGTTCAGCAACACACCATCAATACGGTGCTCCACACGAACACCTTAAGCACAAGCCGCATGACATGTAAAAGGCATCATGGTATGAAAATAATTATTAAACTGTGCTGGAGTTAAGACAGCCTTGCTTTACACCAAAAACCACTGCAAAACCATCCAACACCTGTACACTCAGCTGCTCACTCGCCCGCATACCATTGTGCCGACATTCAATTAAACGTGTTCGATAAAGCAAACCTACCCAACACCAACCAAAATGCCTCGCAATTCACCGTATCAAATCCTTGAGTGAAACCAAAAAACAGCAAGTATGAAGGCTGGTATCGTTCTCTGCACTTCTCCTGCAACTGACGAGCCGCAAACATCATATGAATGGTGAAGCGACCCGAACGGAATACACATTGCTCTTCCGGCACATTCGGTTCCACAACCTGACTGGCTAGGCGGTTGAGCAGGATTCTCACAATCACGTTGCCCACACAACTCCGCAAGTTGATGCCACGATAATGCGTGTCACCTTGCTTGCTTCCTTTACCCTTGTAAAGTGTAGCACAAGGGCATCCTACGGCTCGTGAGGCAACTCCTCCTCAATCCACACTCGTTGTACCAACTGCCGCAGCGCATTCACCAACGCGGGTCCGCATGTTTCAATACTTCATGCGGAATCCCGTCGGCAGCTGAGCAACTGCTTCCTGCGTCTTATCCAGTGTCGGCATGTCTGCCAGACTCACCTTCACCCCGTGCTGCTTCAGGCCGTTCAATGTTGGCCAGTCAATCACTGAACAATTGTTCAAAAGGCGATCAAAGTGATTTCGACAGATCTGCATTATGTCTGCAGTTTGTGCGCAGGCAGCGCCTGAGCTACCATCGATCAGCGTCCTCAGCGACTCCAACCTCGGTCTATGCACTACCTTCCAGGAGTCAAAGAATTTCTTGTGTTGGCGGAGTTCGGCGTAGCATTCCATCTGCTTCGCCTTCTCCGTCCACCATGTAGTTTAATGCGACGGAGCTCTAGCGTCAGTCGCCGTCGAATTTTGCGAAACTGACTCTTCTTCCTCAGGTCACTGAGGTCTGCCTCATGTGCAGCAAATGCTGCATTCTTAGCAGACACCAATGTGCTAATCGTCGCTTTGTTCTCATCAAACCAATCGGGCCGCTTACAGTTTGTGCGCCCGATTGTCTCCTCAGCAGCAGCTGTCACCTGATCGCGAATGTGTTGTCACAGGTCGCCCACTGTGGTTATGCATTCCATGTCACACAGGCGTGCATCCATCGCCTTCTCTAGCTCAATACGTTTCTCCATAGTACAGAGGAAAAACGTTATATGTCCGCCTCCGATTCCCGGCAGGCACACAGCAAATTTGGTCCGCACCAGCACACGTGTCATGCGCACTTCACGCATATCACGCTGACGTATGATGACCTAGTCGAGCAGGTGAGCGTGACCACTCCGTGGATGGGTCCAAATTTCTATATTACTCACCTGCGGCTATGGCCAGACGCAGGGGGGTGTTGACGTGCTTACACCAATTTGACCAGGAGCTGCCTGGCTTAAGACCGCTGGTAGCAAACAATTGAGCAACCGGAGATGTCCTCCTATCTTCAGAGACGATAAGTGGAGCTCGTGATATACGCCAACAGAGCTGTAGACCTATTGTCACCCATGAGTAGGTTTAACGTGAAGTGGGCCATCGACAACTTCCTAACTTCCGAGCAGGATGAGGTTTGGACGGGAATACTGGAAGAACGCCCACACCAAACATAAGAATGACTCAGGTTCTCCACCAAGGCCCTCGATTAAATATATACCCGAAAGGCAGTGGGTATAATACATGGTCAGTTCACTGGCTCATGCGGATTGGTGTGTCCTGGAACTTATCTAGACGAAGGGCGCAACCCAACTCCCACCCAGCGGTCGTCAAGTGAATACGTCCAGGACATGTGTCCACGGCACAACCTTAGCGGCAATGGGTAGACCAACTGTCAGGCGTGACCGACTATATCTGGTGGGTGATTTCAAAGTGCGCAGAGGGCGTGCTGCATCTTTGTGGACAGATGTCATCGGTCCGCATGGCATTGGTTCAGCGAATGCGAACGATGACAGGCTGCTCTCACTGTGTGCCACTCACGGCCTGACGATCACAAACGGTTTCCAGCGAGTGCGAATGATACCGAAACTTGGATGAACCCACATAGCGGTCACTTTCACTTGCCCGACTATGTCATCGTACGTCAGCGTGAGATGAGTGAAGTGCGCATGGCACCTGTACTGGGTGGTGCTACGTGTGGCACTGACCACAAATTGGTGCAGACCAAACTGTACATATATTTCTTAATTCTATGTTCTGCACTCCTGCTGTGAACCGACGTAAACGTAACATTCTCACCCTCGGTACTGTGGAGGAACATGGAGCTGGAGAAGGCGATGGCTGCACGACTGTGTGATGTGGAATGCATAGCCCCAGTGGACGACGTGTGGCACCACATTCACTACCAGGTGACAACTGCTGATGAAGAGATCATCGGGAGCGCAAACTGTAAATGGCACGATTGGTTTGATGAGCAAGGCGACGCTTGGCACATTGGTGTTGTCTAAGAATGCAGCATTTGCTGCACATATGACAGACCCCAGTGACTTAGGGAAGAAGAGTCAGCTTTGCAAAATTCGAGGTACTGGTTTGCTTTCTTAGACACTTTTTCAGTCTGCCTCAAACAACCGAGGTCATCTTGAACTATCACGCCGAGATCGCACTCGTGAGAAGCCCGCTGTAGAATTTGTGGTCCTAAGAGTACCTGTGCATACTCTTGTGCAGTATGCTGAGAACTTTGCACTTGGTGATGTTGAAATGCAGCGTGTTCTCGATGGACCATGTGTACGCTTTGTCTAGATCCTCCTGTAACACTGTGTGATCCTCCACTGCAGCTATAGTGCGACATACCTTTATAACATCAGCAAATAGCAAACAGTTAGAAGAAAGCGCGCTCGCGAAATCATTTATGAAAACTAAGAACAGGCGGGATCTATGTACCGAGCCTTGAGGTACGCCGCACTGAAGTTCGTTGGATTCCGACAGGTTGCTTCTAACCATCATATTCAGGTGATGTTGCACGAGAAAGTCTCCTATTCAGCCCAGAACAGGATCGCCGATTCCATATTTCTGGAGTTTGTGAAGGAGAATGCGATGGTCCATACGGTCGAATGCCTTTGAGAAATCCAAGTAGGCCGCGTCGACTCCTACACCAGCGTCCACAGATTCCGTCCAGCTTGCACGAGCAATCAAGAGATTAGTGGTACAGAAGCGCTTTTGGCGAAATTCGTGTTGCTCCGGAACGAGAATTTTGTTGTTCTCCAGGTACCCCATCAGAGCCTCAGCTACAATGGACTCCATAACCTTGGAGATCCCAAGAGGTAGTGTTATCGGGCGATAATTTGCTGGTTCAGCACGACTGCCACTTGTGTAGCTTGGCATGATGATTCCGTGCTTCCACATCATGAGGACGTGCATCTCGTTCACACATCGTTGAAAGAAAATTGTTAGTGGTCCTGCCAAACTCATGACAGCAACTTTCAACGCCTTCGGTCGAATGCCGTCCGCACCCGGGGAGCTGAACTCGCGCAGAGACATCAGCCACTTCAGTACAGCTGCGGAGGTGAACGAAAAGTGATTAAGCCCTGATGGCGACGTTATCTGCTTTGGAAGGTACAGCCAAATTGTTGTCCAAGAACGTTGGCAGCCTCTTGTGCGGTTTGGGCTAACCCGCATGCTGTGTGCAGAGCAGGAATACCGCGCTTAACCCGGCGCAAATTGTTTACGTGTTTATATAGCAGTTTGGGATTAGAACAAAACTTTTCCACTAGACCTTGTTGGTTCTTCAGTTTATCCTCCCGGACGAGTTTGACACAGTGGTTTCTTTGTATTGTGTAGACGTCCCAGGTATGGTCGTTCGGGGAGGCTATGTAGGTGTGCCATGCCAAGTCCATAAATGCCATGTATTTATGTGTCCTGCTGCTTATGAAAGACTTCATCCTTTTAGACCGGCAGCGTTTGGTTTCAGATGTCCTTGCCACGAGCTTGGTAAATTTGTTGACGAATTCTCTGCAGGCCACCTCAGGGGTCAATTCGGCTAAGAACGACCAGCTTGTTGCATCAATTTGGTCGGACAGGTCTTCGTAGTTGGTTACGGCATGATATTCCTTGACATGCTCTTTAGGACAATCAGCGTAGCACATGTAATGAAACACTAGTGTCGCATGATTACTGCAGCCCAAAGGAGTATCGGTTATCAATCTCTCGACCATCAATTCTTCATTAGTGAATATTCGGTCCAATATGGATGACCTGTTAGTTCCCCTGAATCTGGTGGGCGTAGTGACGTGGCCATAAAGTGGGAAATCTGAAACCAGATCCTGCAAGTCCGCTTTGAATTGCTCTCGTGGTGTGGCTTGGGATTCTAGAACATGTAAGTTGAAATCATCGGTGACTAGAATGTGACTGAACTTTCTGTTTATCAGTTGCTTCAACGCAGCCATCAAATTGCAGTCCATCTCAGGAGTAGACGATGGTGGGAGGTAAATAACAACCACTAGGCCAAGATCGTTCTCTCTCAGTCGGAAATCGCACCAAATGGAGTCAGGTACGTCGGTTTCAGAATCGTCTATGGGTTCGCATGTAGGGTTACCCCACCACATATGCTGGCTAGATCCTTCCGGACAACGGACGTGTGCAAGTTTATGGAAGATAGTTTAGATAAACATTAATATGAAATAAAAAGCATTAGGACAATATATCAAACCCATCCGCTGAAATAAAGAGACTCAGCATGCAAGCACGCGGTTAGTAAATCGAATGCAGCGTACCTACAAACGCTGCACCGATTCTGTACTTTCTCTGCAGGATTCGTCGTCGCTTCAGGGGTGGCCCCGAGTGGCATCGCTCATGGCTCACTAGGCCCGTCTGTCTCAGGCACTCGCGACCGTACGTGATACAGCACCATGTGCTCGATGTCGATGGAGTACAACTAATCGGTTCCGGTCGCTTCCGCACTTGCAGGTTCTTCTCTGCATGCACAAGAGCTTTCACTTGCACCTTGGCAAATGCCTTCGTGATCAGATTGCGCCATACACGCTGATCAACCGCTTTCGTTTCCCATGACCTGCAATCAATATTAGAACGTGAGAGGCTCACTTTGCTCATGTCCTGGTGACGTAACTTTGGTTTCCCAGCATGCCGCTTCCCAATACTCAGCTGACCGTATAAGAGTTGTTTCGGTATCCGCGTCGAATCCATACAGTTCACATGACCGAGCCATCACAGGTGTCTCAGTAAAAGTATGCAGTCCAATGCATACATTACACTTCGGTGCGACACTTACGTGTCCGCAACTCTGTGGCATCCACCGGTATGCAGAATCCATCTCAATCACTCTTGATGGAAGCGCTCGAGATATCGCACATCCCGCCGGTATATCGTCCACGTTTCGCTGCCGTATAGAAGAACGAACGGCATCATGGATTTGTACACCATCAGCTTCGTGCCAATGGTAGGCTGATGGCTGCTCCACTCTCGGTACTCAAGCTTCCTGAATGCCGCCGTCGCCTTCGACACGCGGATACGAAGCTCATTGTGAAGCTGCTGATCAGTCGACATCACACTCCCAAGGTAGCAGAAGCGGTAGGTGGATTCTAATACTTCAGCACCTACACTGATTTTCAGCAATATGGTAGATTGCACCTCCGACGAAGGCTGATATATATATATATATATATATATATATATAAACGTGGCAGCGATTAAGTGCTGTTGGTTAACAGTATCTAATCTTTGTCAAAAATAAACGTTTGGGTCCAATTAGAGTTTACTCGAAAAGAAGTCTTAACGTATCACTCCTTTGGTCCTGATTTTTTCACTAGAAAGGGAATATTTGCTTTGCTGAAGTTCAGCATCGCCCATGATTCGTTATGATTCAAAGCATTTAATGGGAAAGATAGTACTGGTGTGTGCTGAAGGTGTGTAAGCCGTGGGAAGCTCAGGAGTGGCAGAGAATTACATAATAGTATTTGCTGCACGGTTCATGGTTCTGTCAGCGGGGGAGACGCCACTGGGTTACTCAGATCATGATAGGGAATTTTCTCAGGGGCATTTAGCCAAATAGCCTACGTGCAAGTCAACGGGGCGAATTCAGGAAAATGCGCCCATTTGGAGCCGGTCATTGATTACTTAGTTTACACGCTTTTCCTTTGGACGCTTAGCAAACAGGGACCCAATCCTCCCCATCTTTTCAGCATCGGGTTGCTGGAGTAAGAAAACTGCACCAGTTAAAAGCAAGGGGCAGTAACTTTATTTGGTGGCGAGTCACATCCGCCACGTCACAGTGTCACGGCTTTCTACAGGGAGATCGCTTGTCAGGTGAAATCCCACCACGTCCATCCCTCTGGAACGGATGTGATTAATGCAAACGTAACACATCGGCTCCTTCTGTTGTTGATAGCGTGCACCCGTCAATCATGACGAGTGCTGCAATTCCGCGCCGCGCATTACAAAAGGCCATGAACATGCTTGTACAAGTGTTTGTGGTTCGTACAGAATTGCTTCATTAAGTTCTACTAATGCATCACTTTGTCCTTGCAGCTCAATTTCGTTCATAAGTTACACTGCTACTTATGCGCTCCAGGTTTCGGTATTCAGGGACTTTTTGTGAGCTCCCCATGTCAAAGCGCACAAGGACGTACATTTACGTGTTCTACTGCTCAGCATCGACTTGCCTTTACTTTGACGATGGAAGTATTTCTGTTTCGATGAGTGCATTAGCATGGGAGTACCTGTCTTTTGAACGTTTCCCAGGCAACTTCTTGTTGGTATTTAGTTAAAAAGTTCCGAACGGTACCCTTATCAAGCTTGGATAACATGTTGTAGTGTGTGACAGTATACATATTATCATCTTTTCTTCGGGATATTCCGCATAAACCACATAGTCAAGGGTGGGCGAATGGTCTGTCTCACGGATTGCAAAGTGTCCATCTCACGGATTGCGAGGTGCCTGCCGCACGCCGCGCGGTCGTGCTGAATGGACGCTGCCCTATTTTTGGACCTACCACTCGCAATTCTCGACACACATTACTGTGTTTACACCTATCCAACTCGGATTCACCAGCGCTATCGAGGGGATCTACCACTTCAGGATTGTCTAGCACAAACCAACTTTGCATCCGTTATTGCAATTTCAACGTGAATTTCACAGAAATCCAGGTACGCATCAACGGCTTTTTCGAGTACATACCACCATTTGTACTCTCATTTGACAGAGTGCTTACAGCGTCACCCTGCGATTCGTTTACAAAAAGCGGACACTCCGTTTGATAGCTGCAAAACATTTAGCAGTCATCATTCCAACACTTGCCAAACTAGCATGAATTCTACCACGCTTATCAAAACTCAAATTTCCACCAACCTGATCCATTGCTAGTCGGCCACCGTTCACACCAGTCGGCTTAGTTTGCAACTTAGGTTACATTCGTAAGCTATTGTCACCGAGATCGTGTGCCTGCGACAATACGCTCGGCGATCGCAAGTTACCACGTGCCTGTCGCCGCGGTATGCATCGTAACAGATCAACAAGGAAAACAATGTGTACAATGTCCACCCAGCAGCGGAGCGAAGTTCTTTGAAATTCGCAATCGTACTCCAAGACTAATCAAATTGGCGTAAGTTATGATAACTGCAATAAGAAAGTTCACCCCAAGAGCGTAACCTTAAGTGTAGCTAAAGCAAAAGGACGACAAGGCACACCAGACTCCATTTGTTTCGGTACATTGTGAATGCTCAATCTACTCGTAAGGTGTATCGCCGTGCTTGATCAGCAAGGTGACAAACTGACAAATTTGGCTCTACGAATCCCTACCTGTAGGAAAAACTTCGTAAAAATGTGTCCACTGCATAAGTTAATCCGTTTCGAAGTAGTGACTGCGCTAGTGAAGAGGGAGACGCAAACATATGTAACGGACTTGGGCACATTTATTAGGCGACTGTTAGTGGGTGTTAAACAGTTGGTTGAGATTGGAACACAGAACACCATATTGCTGTTACCAAGTTATGATTAGAACCTATGCATTTATTCCGAATCAATACACAACGTGGTATCTGTATATAGCTGTTTTTAGTGCAGTTAGTTCCGGTCTATGGCAGTCTATCCTTGGAGGATCTATGTTAATATAAATGTGTGCGACTTCAGGAAATCCCACTCAAGGATGAGCAACTAGATTGCGAGGTTACTGAGCTTTACAAAAATGTTTCAGGAATTGATAACTTAACGTTTGCCCACGGTATTGTGAGCAGGTAAAAATCATCATCATGACATCTACAACGATAGACACTATTATTAGTTACGAGTATTTTTAAAGGTTGATGCAAGATGAAAAGAGATATGTGAGACACATTGGCGTATAAACGGAGAAACCTACTGTCACAATGAGTGGTTCCAGCTGTCGCAAGTTTCTGAAGACAGAAGAGAATTGATGTGCTACGAATAAAATGGCGAAGTTTGTTCGTTTCCGTACCACGTGACACTGTGTGCATGTAAGGCTGGTCCCGAAAGCATTGGGACCAAAGTTGGTGGTGCGCAGAATGTCCAACGGCAGCAATGAAGTGCAAATGTCGTTGCTACATTGGTGTCATTTACGTGTGTATTTCTATCTTATCCTCGATAGATTTTGAATTTACCAGGGTCCCGTTACCTGAGCGCTGTATCTTCACGCATGCTCCGACGAGCTATATTCCGATAGGACTTGCTCTGCTTTTCGCAGCTGTTGAAAATCCACATAACTTTCAGGCTCCTTGATGTTAGAGACCTACGCATTAGTATTTCATTTGAACATAGTTTTAAAATCGTGTGGCACTCTGAATGGCTTTTTTCATGGTAACATGAACTCAGTAATATTTCGACTGATCCATCTGAAGTGGGATCGCGTATGAAGGGTTGACAACGCGGAATACCAACAAGAAACACGGTGGTTCTTTGGGATGTACAATCCTTACTCAGGGTTTGTTCCACCGTCAGCCGCAGTGCTGCACAACTTGCATCGTTTGTTATGCAAGGGCCCTCAGTATGTGTAGTCCGGACGGAGGAATCGTCTTTTCGTCAAGACACATATGCATTGATCGGTCCACCGGTTTGGACCCCCCTTTGACCACGAAAAGTATATAACGTTAAAATGTGATGCAGCACCCTACGTAGTCAGAACTGACAAAGTACAGATTGACCTGAGAGGAGTAAATAATCAGTTGCGTTTACCTTTCGGACCCTATCCAATCAGCTGAACAAAATTATGTCAAACGTGGCAGGGAAACTTTTGGATTTGTATTTTTGGTTATCCGATTCCACTAATAATTTTCTGGATAGCAATCTGAATGCACATCTATCACAAGCCACTACAAGGATTCCGGTCAAAGCAAAAGCTGCTGTAGTTAAGGCAAATTCCAAATGGATAGAATCTCGATCAACTACACCTATGACTGGATTGACCGTTGTGCACATTTTAAGGAACACTTTGGCTGCGCATGATGTACCATTTGCAGTGTTCCCAAATAATACCTGGGTATTCAACAGCGAGGAGTTCGAACAATTGTTGAACCGAAAATGTATAGAGCACTTTCTGTCGGCACCATGCTGTCATTCGCCCAATTGTCTGGTGGT